CTTCTGATAATTCATGGTTTGATGTAGAAAAGTGAAAAAAAGTGAAATATATTATTACATACTATGTTTAATTAATATGAAATGTTTCTTAACACTATTAGGATAGCGGAAGTCGAAACTTTGATTCCCTTTTGTCTTTAACTAAATGAACTTCAATTCAGAACTGTATATGTATATATTAAAAAAAACGCGATATTAAAAATAATTTTAACATATTAAAAAAAGCAAATCATACAAAAAGTACATTTAACAGTAAAAAATAATAATTTTCTTGACCTGAATATGAATCTGATAATATAAATAGCCTTATATTACATTAACAAGGCAATATCTGGCATTTTATGTCCGAGTTAATTATATATAACATTCGTTCCCTCGAGCCACTGTTTAGATGAGATGCGATATCTTTTACGTTAAGAAAATAGAACAAAAAATATACATTCTACCCTCCACCGTAGCACACCTACCGAAGAAAACTGTCAAGAACATTCTACTACTTATACTGAGTCCGGTAAAATAAACAAAAATTAAAATTATATTGTATAACGCTGTTTCCTTGTATGCCTGTGAATAATTTAATAAGCTCAGCTTATTTCGCTTCTTCATTCAGAGGTTTCTGGTTCTCGACATATCATTTATATTTTTAATTCGAACGTATTTTGTAGTTTAATAGTTTTTTAAATTCAATCTTAATTATTAATGAATGTGATTCAAATTTGTTTGGTATATATTTTTAGTATTAATGGTTACTTTATTTTCATTTGTTTTAAATATGACGTATGTGAGTTTGATTTGGAAACAAGAAATTGTCTATTAAGTTTTGGTTATTACTTTAAACGATGTTCATTAATTATTTTAGAACATTATAGCTATTACTAGATAGTTAACGAAATTAATGAACATTTGTCTAAACTAATAAATTACTAAACTAAACTACTGATTGAAAAAATTGAGTTTATAGAAAACTTATTTTGCATTGATAGACTGAATTTATGATAACAAAAACTATAAGTCAACAACCTATTAGGAGCTCCTGAATTACATTCTTTATTGGTACTATCTTAGTCTTCCTATCTTTGTATTATTTACTCAAAAAGTTAAATTTCATCTTATCCAAGTACATATCTAATAATAATCTGAACTAAATAACTCCACGTATCACACTAGCGAGAACTTTATAACAGAATGTACGCACTACTGGTTAGTAACTTATCTAATAAGTATTTCACTTGTTCATTATTAACAATTAATCCTATTTAAAATATAGTAATAAATACTGTGTACGGTGAGAGTTAAATGCTAAAGGTTCAGCAAGTATTTAATTGTTAGTTGGACAGAGCACATTTGATGCTATCGCCTCAAGACACAATTAGTTCCCTCATCGATTGAATCAAGTCAAACAATGAGTATTGATTGTGACTACTGTCTAGTGTAGTTCATTCAATAAAAAACATGTAAAACTTACATTAAAAACATATATCAATGTTCATGATTAATAAATAAACTAATTATTATTAAGGAACTAAGAAAGAATTTATTTAGAAAATATTCGATGTGTTTTAAAAATTCTCTACCAAGTATTATATGTGATAACGTGTACAACTAAGTGTATTAGTGCTAGTGTAGCATAATTTCGCTCATGAGATCCAATTACGTGTAGCTACCATAAGTGGGTTTTATGAGCATTGATTCAGTTTGTGTAAATTGACAACTTCCGCGGTCGGAGAGACCGGACGCGTAAATGATGATACGGAACCATTTATGATGTGGTGTTATACGAGGGACGTGGAAAACATGATGCAAACATATTGAATACTTTAGAATTTAGATTACTTATTGGGTTAATATTTTTCATTACGGACCCCCTAAAAGTGACGAAATAATGATTACGTAAAAAGGTTTAAATTAAAAGTTATAATGATATATTAATAAAATTTTTGTTTGATTTTATATATACATCATATCATATCATTTTCATATCATATCGTCATATAATATCGTATCATTATATAATATTCTAGTCTACAAGGGAATTAGTTCGTTCATTTTGTGTTGTTTATTGGTACGTGGACTCGGAGGCGTGTCGCTGTTTTAAATCGAATTCTGCAATATTGCTTGCGCTTCACTCCCCAGTGACTTCCTAGTTTTTTTTTTATTATTTTTATTTTTTTATTACTGCGTACTTTATAACGAATCTTTTATAAAGTTAATTTAAAATTATTTCATACGTTGTTATTTCAGATCCTCTGAGACTATGATGATGTGAATTTGTTTTATTAGATAGTTTATGTAGAAAAATATGTGTATTACGTATTTTTGATGACTGTATAATGTACATCGATATAGAATAAATTACCTATATTAATTTATAAATATTCGTCCATGCACTATTCTTTATAATATCTCTGTTTTAATTAAAATTAGTTTAGAATGTTTAATAGTTGTTATTATATACGTACGTCCGCACCACAGAATCAATATTACTAGTATAAATAGAAACATAATTTTGTTCAAATAACATAGATAAATTCTCAAGACGACGCAAAATACGAAAATCCATGGATGTTTCGAATATTCGTCTGTTGGCCGTAGATATATTTGTATATCTTTCCGTGTCGAATGATGTTCAATTGCACGTGTCTTGTACGTTCTTTACATCGCTATCAACTTGCAGACTCTATACAATATATTATTTTCTATCTTTTATATAAAATACGATAGAATACGGAATATTAAATCTTCTTCTACCTGGAAATTTATCAGCTTTAGCCAGGGTCTGCCTTAATGTTGTGAATAGTTTTGGCTAATTGTTTTTACGACCAACCGCCTGCAAGACATTAACCCTATTTGGGAATGCATTAATCAGTGATGTCTAAATACTCTTACAAAGTACATATGACTCGGAAAAATCACTTTGGTACTTGCCCGGATCGAACCCGCGTCCTCATGCATGAGAGGCGGGCGTTTTAACCGCTAGGCCATCACTGACTTTTAAATACCGAATATTAAATATGCATAAAAATTCTGTAAATATAAAACTATGTGCTGAAAATGTTTCATGTTACGTCCGTCAATTTTAAAATCGAATATATGTATATAGCCGGTGACGTCGGCCGGATTGAAAATGTGAGGTTATTGAATTATCTGTGGTTTTTGCATTTTTTACCGTTATAGAAACAAAAAGGTGTGCCGGCGCGCTGAATCAATTAAGTTACGGGCTAGGACGCGGCAGGCCGTAATTCGATCCGAGGGTAAATGTTGATTTGACCGCCGGGCACATCTAGCCGGCCGTGGCTGTGATCCATTTTCACCATTAGTAGTTCATTAAACCGTTGCCCTAATTAAACTAGGGCCTTAAACGTGGGACACTATATACCCTACGACCCTTTAATACTACAATGGACTTTAACACTATAGTCTCTAAGTGACTGTTCTGTTGCAACTTATATGATAAACGTCTCAAGCAAGATGATCTCATGTTTTGGTTGAGACTGAATCGGCTTATCGAAATTAACCTCTTCAACATATAATGAACGACTACGTCTTCAGACGTGGTGGGTTATAATTCTCGTATGATATACTAATTTACTTAATTATAAATATTTTATTTAAATATTTTTCGGATTACTACTCTTCGTATTTCACATTTCGTCTGTCCGTAATCACGGTTGCTGAAAATTAATCGAAAGATCGGGAGTATTTAGTTTTTAAAATAATAAAATCCGAAAAATATATGTTTCACACTTTCGTACTTTATGTATAAAATTGTATTAAAATTATTATACCGTCTAACTTTGTAACATCCAATTATAATAATAACAAGTTAAACTCATACCGCAAATGATACTAATACTTTTTCAATTCTCTTTGTTTTTAATTTGTGCATATGAGGAATATTTTATTCAATTTAGAAGCTCGAGCACATTAAACCGCAGATTGGAGATATATCTAGACTAATCTGTTCAAGACAAGAGACACAATAGGCTTTATTAATATGTTGCAGCGTTCGATACAAATTGGCTAGTCATTCCATTTGTAGATCGGATCAAATCTAGTAAAGCATAATGTATCTTATGTTACTTGTAATAGATATCAAAATGCACTACATACTCTTATGCGTTTCTTGGATATACAAGGTCTTGTGGTGGTTTGATACACAGATTGTTATAATAACACTATCATTTTATTCTTGAATTATCTAATAATGTAAAATGTTAATCTTTAAATATGTAATGTATTGAAATTAAAAATAACTTTAGAAAAGAAATATGAAACAGACCCTGTTAATGAATGTTTCAATTCACTTCCTATATTTAACTTTTCACGGAAAATACCTTCCCACATAATGAGGTCTTAAACATTTTCTACAAATAACATAATTAAAGAACGACTTTAATTAAAATTTAACGAATTGCTAACAAATATATATCTTAGAGCGCCCATTTACTAAATGAACGACGAAATAATTACATTAGTAAACACGTGATGTACATTTTATTTCGGTCGGACGTCCGCGGTGACATTCGAACACGCCAAGGCACGATTCCGTGGACATCGAGTCATTGAATCACTCCCATAGGATACGGATCATTAAGTGGCTGAATGGTTAATGAAAATAGAATGAGCACTAAACATCCAAGTGGAATTCCGCCAGTCACCTAGACGTCGTTAAATGTTGTTATCGCTGGGATTAAGTAACAAAACAAGTCGGCTGGGGGGCAGCGGGGGCAGGCTGTGGAGACGAGGTGGGGCAGGGGGGGGGGCAGAGTCGCGAATAATAATCTAAGTTTACGACGGGAGGCGAGTGAATCAATAAAAACACTAATAATGCACAGCAGTAATCCCGCTCCTGCAACGATTACCGTCACTAACGAGGTCGTAAACATGGATCAGGGATGCAAGGCTTAGCGAGGAACCTAAACGCGGGCCCCATTGATGATATACGGACAGTCGTATTAATATATGTACACTGAACCGAACTGAACTGAATGTTCATTAGAATGTACAAAGTATTGGGATCCATGTCTGATGTCAGGCGATACGGTATTAAAGGAGGTACCCTAAAACGATACAGGATCCATTATTCTCAATTTGCGCCAAGTTCAAGGAAGCTGGCACGACAGTCGCTGCGGGTGTCCCCCTTGATTAAATCCCGGGATGAACAATTTGTGTGCCATCCAACACCTCGCAGTGGAGCCTGGATAGCCCTTGAGCTTACAACAAGATACATAGGTTTTAATTTGACGAAATTTACTTAGCTTCAGATCAGACTTAGCTTTTATTGGTGTCTGTTATTCCCTTTATCTGAAATATATGTACATACATATTTATTTACGATGACATCTGTTCTAATATTTGAAACATTTCGTTATTAATATAAATAAGTATAATACATTTGTTATATGGTTGGAAAGGGATTTACAATGAGAGATCACATTATAATTTTATAATGATAATAGTATGTTTAACTTTAATAAAATACATAATATGTAAATATAGTACAGGAGTCTGTTATCGGTTCATCATTGACAGCTAAAAAGTCACGGCTGTTACCAATTCAACGGAGCGAGCGACGTAATCCGTAGCGAGGCGAGTAAACAAATTACGGAACGGGTCGAGACGGAACGGGACGGGGCGGGACCGGACGGGACGGGACATACGGGACGGACGGGACGCACGGGGCGGGCGACGTGACGCCGTCCGCTATTAATATTAATTCCGGCACAAGACGTAGATCGCCGGAGATGCGTGAGAGGCACGCGCGATACACAAATGCAAAATGATTTTATTAATGATTTAATAATGGTATAAAATAAACGTTCCGCAGCCTCTGTCATGATAAATATGTTACTTGTTATATTATTTGTCTTGTTCTCTCGTCATATGTACCTCGAAATATGCTAATAAGTCTCTTATTAATATTTTATCTACACTAAAGATTTTAAAAAAATATCATTTAATAACGCTGTCTTCATATCTACTATCTCAGATTCGTCCAATCGAATTAATGTTTTAATTAGATCCGAACTAATCCCAGGACAGCCGTTACGTGTTCGTGAGCATATATGCACCTATGTATATGATAGTGTATTAATCAGTGTAACATTTAAGACAGTGTTAAACGCCACTAAGTGTCCGTGTCTCCGTGTGTCTGGTGTAACGTGTTTATTGTATCAGTCGTGGGCCTCATCAAAATGCAAATAAACCCTCGGCGCCGGACGGTTCTCCTATATTGAGTTATGCCCGCGGTCCAATTGTCTGTAGCTGTGAAATTCATACGGGATTCATGGTTATACATCGGGATTTGTTTTGCGGTTGACTTGCTTAAAAAATATGTATATAGAAGGTTCCGTCGTAGAAAATCATTCGATATAACATTATTATTATTTTGAAGAATGTTTTTTGTTTCGGTTATATCTTATAAATTTTAACGGAATAGTAATTTTTTTCTGTTAAAATAATACAGAAGTATGATTTTTGTTTACAGTTCTTTATTCATAAATCTTCACACATAGTAACGCAAGTTATTGAATGAGAAAAGGGAAACGCATCGTATGTAGTGTGACAAATCAATCTTGAAATACAAAGACAGATTTCATTATGTTTAAAACCAAGAATATGTTATCCCTCTTTATTATATATAGTAATACTTATAATTATTTTTTATTGAATTATAAACGAGTAACGCATCGTATGTAGTGTGACAATGCAATCTTGAAATACAAAGACAGATTTCATTACGTTTAAAACCAAGAATACATTATCCCTCTTTCCTATATCTAGTAATACTTATAATTATTTTTAATTAATATTAAATCTATATGTAACTTTTCAGTGTATTTTTTTTTCAATATACAAGATTCCCGTTGAACCTCCATCCCGTTCTGAACACTTAATAAGCTCCTGTACGTCGTGCTCGTATTACGATCGTTAACTCGTAATTGTCGACACCTAATTAGTCCAACACCCGACGCTTCGTCTCCGATGACTGTTCACACATGACCCCCGCGATATTTTATACTACACTGCACTAAAATATGCGCTGGATTTATGATATATACTTTTGAAATGCAACAAGAAAATGAATTAGATTTTTCTTCTATCTAAAATCGGATATTACTTTCACCAAATTCAATGCAATTTTATTTCGATCGATTAAATCTTAATGGCTGAATTTATAATATATACTTTTTAAATGTAACAAGAAAATGAATTAGATTTTTCTTATATATTGACACGTTTTTATCTTAAATTGAATATTACTTTCACCAAATTTAATGCAATTTTATTTCGATCGATGAAATCTTAATGGAGTAATGTGTTATTGTATAGTTTGATTAAAATTGTTCATGTTACCAACAGGTATGGAGGCCATAATGTCGGAGTTTTTCAACGATACAACAACAGCATTCTACATCATCTTGATTGTATGGATAGCTGATCAGTATGACGCTATATGTTGTCACACAGCTATAGCGAAGAGACACTGGTTGAGGTAAGTCATACATAAATCAATATAAAAACAACTATTCACAGAAAGCTAAATGAATAACATTAAATAGCAATTATTCACAAGCTTTTACTACCTGGAAATTTCCCAGCTTTTGCCAGGATGCGTCTTACATCTGTGAATAGTTTTGGCTAACTGTTTTTAAACCGGCCGTCTGCCTGACATCAACCCTCTTTGGGAATGCATTAATTAGTGATGTCTTAATACTCTTAGAAAGTACATATGACTCGGAAAAATCACATTGGTACTTGCCAGGATCGAACCCGCGCCCTCATTCACAAGTCCACCACTGACTTAATTATTCATAATAAGCCACGATATCCAATATATTGTATGCAATTTCATAATATTATTTTTTATATAAAATATCTGTATGAGTTTTATGTTAGTTTATTGGAAAGTGATCACGTTCGTTATTAATTAGCGTGTTGATTGTTTGTATAGGATATTTAATATCATAATATAGGCTCTGTTGCGATTCATATAACAAATAGCAATGTACTATGTATAAGCTGTTTGGTTTATATTTCCTATGAAAAGTTTGAAAACATTTTTTTTAAAGCATAATATATAGGAAAGCTTAACTTAGTTGTTATTTGAAAGCTAATTGATATATCAAAAATAAATCTTCCTCGTTGTTATTTCAGATATTTTAATAACAAAAAAATATATGTTATAAAGCAATATCGCTGTTTTGCTAACGTTCAACGTCAACTTGATATATTCTTTTGTTATTCTAATATAGAAAAAAGGTAAAATGTATTTATTCACTAACAAATCTTAAGAAACGAAAACAGAACAAATAAATATTATCATAAAGCTATTATAAGATGTACCAATATATTCACAAGTTAAATATTCATATTTTTCTATATATTAATATAAAGAAATTAATATTTCTTTTTTATTATAAAAAAAAACTATTTAGTGATATATTTGCAGCTCGTAATAGTTATAAGTGTCGTATGGATATGTCTGTCCGTCTATTGTGTGGCCTAACTAGTGTATGTCAGGCTGGTAGTCGGGCATTAATTAAATTAATCCGATTGTTATGGCCGTACAATGAGTGTCGACAGTTGCCGGCTAGCATACACATGCTATTTAAGTCCACCCATACATGTCACACTGACGACCACATCGCACACATTCACACAAACACACACACGTTGTTCGCTCTACAAAATTTAACGCACACAGCTTATTTCAGGTCGCAGACTCATCGTCTTTGTCAAGTCATACTAACAATAATGCACACATTAAACGAACACAAACACACATATACATTGTGTGTATCAAATTATGTGCTACATTCAGGTGTATCGGTTATTTGTCTATACGTCTGTCTGTTTGTATTGAGCTCGTTACACCGACTTTTATGTTTGCCCTTCGATGTCGATGTTCTTGACGGTTATATTTGTATAACGTTTTATTGCGTTTTGCGTATAATTTTCTATTTAAATATATTCTTATTTGTGTCTACCTTTTTCATTTTGTATTTGGGAACACACAGATATGTTTTTTATGTTAGTACGCGATGTCAAATAAAATTATTATCGAAAAATATTCAATGTGTAAATTATAAGTTTTTGTGGTTTAAGTTTTTAATATGAACCGATCAAAGTATAAAGGGTGACTTGTGTACAAGCGATGTCTTCGGTTTAACGCCTTTCGCTTAATCAAAATCCCGGCTATGTTAAACTCTTGGTCTCAAAATTAGAGAAGCTATTAAAACAAACTGAAATAGTAAAATACAGTCTATCAATACGACTAGACAGTAAGTTATATATGAAATAAAGTGATGAAATTGTAACACTATATACATATATACGTCTTATTATATAATGTTTGCTAATTTTGAGAATGAAGCTTAAATGAATGCATTAAAGTATTTTGACAGTTAAATAAATGGCTTAAATATGTACATGTTCCAGCAAAAAAAAGTAGATTTTTGTCCGCTTGGTTCATCGTAAACGTATTTTTTTCTTCCTAACATGTTTTTTACGGCATATTATAAAATAATAATCTGTTAAAGTATTTTCCCGTGCGCTGCCGGATCACTAAGTAGCTAAGTTCTTTGTCAATTTAAATTTGCTATTCTTGTCGTAATAATGCACTCTACTGTGAAGGCACACTTTGCTTGCTTCTTTGAATTCACTATTAAATTACCTTTATACAATGAAAACATGAAAAATATGCAATAATCTTAAACGATGGAAGTATTTCGTGAAACTCTGTCATGTTTCTGTGAAGCTCGTTTCATTTTCTGATCTCAGACATGAAGCTAATTTGAAAGTATTTACTTGATGTACTGCTTTGAAAGAGGTTGACATAATTAATGTCTTCATTATATATTGAGAAAATTATAATTATATGAGCATATAAATATATGTGGCATACTGAGTATAATTAAGTTTTCATAATTTTTAAGGTTAATTTGAAAGACAGATTTTTTTGCCTTAGTATCCACTATATAAATTCATGGGAAGTTATAGTAGAAAAAAATGTACTATATACCTGGCTGAAATGTTCCTAATCCTATCAAGACGCTGACAAATACTGGTCTTAGTATAATAATAGTGTGTGTTACCTCAATATATCGAAGCACTGGCAGTATTGGTGTCCGGCAATAAGTGTCAATTGTGTTTGTAGATCTCGGTCATTTGGGGCGATGACCGTTCCTTCCTACGAGGTTCGTTCCATACCCTCCCTTATATTATTGAACATAAATGTAAATATGCAAAAGATAATGAACCTATATTCATTGCTATTAAATTTATGTATATTGTAACATATTTCGTTATAAAATTATTTTGTATAATTTATTCTTCTATCATCAAAACTAAACGATTCTCTTCAATAAGTTTAAACTATATTATTTATATATAATATACATCATATTTGTAGTTGTAACAAGTTAACCAAAACCCCAGAGTGTGTCACCGCGACTGTTAAGTGCGGCCGCGTGAAGATCCTCTCTCAGCATAAATCTAGTCGACCGCCAATTAAGCTACGCCCCGACAGTTTGTCTACAACGGCCTGATTGCTTTCACGGTACCCACTATACCGCTGAATCAATAACCCGATGTGTCTATAGGATTAGGTTAACACTAATACACTCGCCGATACTCGATAACGTATAATATCATATAATTATTAAGAACAAAGCACTATAATGTATTAAAGTCGACGGGTCAGCTGAACAAACTGTTGCGTTGTAATGAAACTGGTTACCACTTAAATATGTACCATATACATTTTTTCAATACGTATCTGTAATGCGCTCAATATTGACAATGTTATGAATAGTATGTGTATATAATTGTCTTTAATCCTTAAAAGATAACGACTAGTCCTTTGTTCATATTTCTAACACATTAGATAGAACATCGTAAGTGAACAAATATATAATTTATCTAGTATTATGATATAAATAGAGAGTGGGAGTCGGCGAGGTGACGGGATCGTTAAGAGACTTCTCGTATGTCATTTTAAGGATGTGCCAAATTGAAGGCTCCAGCGTCACGGCTGGGGGAGGCTGATTTATGCTCTGCACCCAGCAACCTTCGATTAGAGCTTTATACACTCGGAGGAGGTCAGTTTTCTACTTTATGTGGACTTATTAGGGAAAAGAAGACGTAGTTTGAATTGATACATAATAAGATGTTAACATTAGTTTATCTTTTGATCCCATAAGATAAAAAGGCTAGATATTATTGCTTAAGTTTTATGTTGTGTTTATCATACATTTTATTTCAGTTATCTCTCGAAATGACTTCGCATTTTGTATTACAGCGTTATTTAAAAATGTTTAAAGTTTAAAAGGATTTTTTTTGAGTTGATTATAATATAATATTTCGTCTGGTGTAAAGCCTAGTTTCTTGTAAGTCGCTTAATAAAAATGTTACATTAAAGGTGAATAGTTGTGATCATTGAAGCGTGGGATGTGCGATGACGGCTGCTGGCTAACGTTAATTACGCTTCAACAGCTCTCCATACTGAGCTACTGGCTGCTGTTTGATACTGATTGTTTACTAACAGACTCACTTATTATATTATATATCTATATATTATACATATATGTAGGTTATCGCTCCCTTTCATACGTTTTTGATATTTCGTTCTTTAAGTTTGTTCACAATTAAATATCTTTCCTTTTTTTATTGAAGTGAAGTGAAGTTATCTGATTCATTATTGAACTTTATTATGTATTTTTTATAAGATAGTTTATTTTAATTTTATATCTGAATTGTATGTACATATTTGACGTACTGTCTTTTATTGTATGTTATTCTATATTTATCATACAATTTACTTATAGTTTTTGTATCGTGTGAGAATATTTTTTAATTATTTAAGTGACATCTAAAGCTGGTATGAATTAACGAGGTGTAGTAGTGGTTGTTGATCGTCTCTATGGCGCCGACACAGGCGCCTAGCCTCATTTGCATCCAAGACAAACGATCAACAAGTGTCGAACCGTTTAGTTATGAATATATTATATATCTTCTTCTTCTATATATATAAAAATGGATTGCTGTTCCTTAGTCTCGCTAAAACTTGAGAACAGCTGAACGGATTTATCTTATCTTAGTCTTGAAATGTTCGTGAACGTTCAGGGAAGGTATAAAAGCTTAAAAAAATTGATTCATTACTGGGAAAACCATAAAATCAGCCCTTTTCTATTTCCCATACAAACGTTTTTTTTGACATTAGATTTGACAACTAACTAATATGTCAATCATCCGTCGGACTTTAAAACACGGAGATTTATGGCTTACAGGTAAACTCCAAAAATATAAATAAAAACGTAATAGATATTTCTTGATTATAGGGCGATACGAAGTTCGCCAGGTCTTCTAGTATACATATAAAATACATAAACTTTTATATATAATTTGTTTATAAACCGAATCTTAAGTTAGTGACTAGTGATTTACTCAGTCGAGTTTATTTTAAATACTCCAGAAAGCTTTAGGTAAGTAAAATTAAGTGTATATTATTAAAGTAATTTTCATTTAATTTAACAAGTGTCTAATTTTATAAATTTCTATTATAAATATCATTGTTATATAGAGATTATAAATAGCCATACTGTGATTCCATTGAATTTTATCGCTCAAACTTCAGATGTTTCCAAGAATTGGGTTAAGAGCAGTAAAAGTACTTTTTAAAGATAATTAACACCTAAATATAAATCTAACATAATAAATTAAATTATATGTACCGTTTAAGAATCTTAATTCCTATATAATGTCGGATAATCAAAAGAATCGAAGGGACATTAGACTGAAACACTCAGTGTGACGAGCAAAATTGTTCACAGTGTAATTACATTAGTTAATAGTCGACCGGCCTAACGAAGTTACAAACCGTCGGTTCCGTGATAGGGACCTCAATTAAAATATCATTACGATGATGATTTACTTACTTGATTCCAGTTGATTACAGATGACGCTATTACAGAACACCTAAACGACTGTACAGCGTGTTAGCAATAGCGTTTAATGAATGATTTATTGTATTATAATACATTTCAAAATAAATTCAAAAGTCATGTTCGTGTAATATTTTTATATCAACTCGAAAGTATGCGTTGTTTTAATATTGTAAAGTCAAAAAGTAATTTTATTCATTACATCGTTGGTTTTTAATTAGTTTCAATAAAGTTTGTTGTCTTGTATTCACCTTAATTTAATATTAATTAGTTTAAATCTCTGCAAAGTAAAAAAGAATTTAAGTGGTATTTGTAAAATAATTATAATCATAATAATATGTTAATGACATACATTGAGGTCTTAACAAGAATGTTTGTTAATTGTAGCTTACAAACAGATGTTATAATAGTATAAATTATTCTTATAAATTTTATTTTCCTTCATTTAATATTTGAAACAAGTTACCCAGTAAAAGATGTATGTTATATGAAGTCTTAAGAAAAAAATCCTATTTCTGACGGATGAACTCATAATTTTAGCATCACAAATAATTCATTTGATAAGAAATTAACACGTATAAATGTTTTGTCCCCAACCCAAAGAGTTGCACAGAGAACATTTTAAAACAATGTTTCGTAAAAAATAGGGAGTCTAGTTCATAAATAGCAAACAAATAAAAGAGACAATAATTCATGAATTAATTAGTATTTATAACAGTTACTTGGTAATAATGTTTTTATAAAATAATGGAAATTATCGATTGATGAAGTAATTTTCAACGATTATAAAGCGGCAAGTCTATGAAAGTTTATATCCACCAGTCTTATATCTTCATGTTTAAAAACTATATAGGTATAATTTTAATTATAATTTAAGACAATTTAACAATCAAGCTGAAAGCTTTTTCATCAAGACTATTTTTTACACACACTAAGAATACTGCGACCACCTCCTGTTAGGGAACATACAGGTCTATTATATGACACAAATGTAACTAAATATAAGGGGAATTAATATAATACTTATTCAAGTAATGTGAAAAGTTTTTGGGTGAGCATAACTTATGAAACATAAATCAAACTCACCGAAAATTATCCATACACTGTATTAGAAGAGCTCTACTTATATTTATTTTATGTGTAGATACGTTTGGACGAGTAATAACATTGAAACTATTATTTATAGTTTATGATTAAAAATGAATTTAAAACCGTCTATAACAAAATAACCATAAGTTACTTAGTTATCACTTTTATCAACCCTAAAGTCTGACCTCAAAACACTTTTAAAATACACTTATTTTAATAGGTCATCTGGCAATTTTTTTTTACCGTTAAGTATAAAATAAATGCTTTTTCTAATTTATTCATTTCATTTGCAAAAACTATACAAATTCGTCATTTTTTTCATTTACTATGATTTAGCCATTGTTCGCGTCCGGTCCTAATTATTTTTCAATGGAATCTTTTTTCTGAGTAAGTGTACGACATGTGTCATATGTGTACGATAGTGTGTTTGCTGAAAATTGTATTTAAATGGAGAAAAATTCGCTCCTGACAATAGAATCACAAACGCAGAGCACAGAAAAGTTTATTTTCGAAATAGTAAAACTAAACTTATAAATTTCAAGTATGGCCTCTATTAAACAAACAGCAATGAATTTTGTCTATTATTTTCTATAACAACTTTGTGTTGTTTTATTTTACGCTTTAATTCTATTTTTTTGATATTTTCTTGCAATAACTTTCTATGCGAGGGTTGTAAATAACTACATAATTATGCTATGAAATATGTCAAGGTATACGCTAAGAATGATCGGTCAAGTGTTTCATTTGTTTGCTGGGTTTGGGGCGCGGTCGCCGCTCCTCTGTTTGCGACCTCTGTTTGAACATTTTCTTTACCATGACAGCCCTGGTCCGTGGCACAATGAAAACATCGCTAAAAATTATGTTAGTATCACATTATTTAAGCCTTATACACGTACAGCGCAATTTAGTCGGCTAGTTTCCTTCACTTTTCATATGGGCTATATGAAATACCATAAGTTCTCATTACTGTTCTAACGTTGTGGTAATTTTTAATTTAATATACCTGATACACGCTGATACACATGCTTTAGTTATACTTTTATTATTTTCGTATACTAATTGTTATGTACGTACTGTGCTGGGATTTTTACTATTTTAAGGTCGTAGTCTTGGATCTGAAATCATTTTTTTTGTTCAAGTGGGTTCTTTTAGGGTTTCATATTGATTTGTTGAATTTTAATTGAGCTATCCCTTATCTAACTATTGCTTATGTTGGATATTAGAAATTAGCAATCTGTTTACACTTCCACGCTGCGGTGCCAATGATCAATGATTGTTTGAAAAGTGGAAGAAAAAATAATCTTCTCATAAGGTCTATCACGTTGCATTCAAAGTTACTAAAATATTGCACAAAACAAAGACAGAGCCTGTCAGTTTGGGATTAAACCAAGCGAATTACTTGAAATCAATGTTATCATTCGTGTGAGATCTTCACGTGATGGGTCTCTTAAGACGAACAGCTTCACTGACGACCCAAAAGGACAAGATGAAGTGACTAACACGTCATTTTGGTTAGTTTGAGGTAGAACAAGATAAGAGCGTTTTAGTATGACCTCTGATTGGCATTTGAGGAACAAAATAGTTTATGTATGAATTATTATCAGGACTTAATCCTAAATACTTTTATTTATCTTTATTTAAAACGTTTTGTATCTAATAAGACAAACTTGTCTAAATATATTTGTGTTTAAGATTATTGTTTCGATCTTAAATCTTTATACTTTAGGAAATGTATCGTTTCTAGAGTTGCAATCAAACTCTTTATTAAGTGTTCGCATTTCTTAAGCGTTAATGTTTTGTAGATCAAATCAAACAATATTGTAGTAATCACTGCAATAATGTATCGGTGTTCAATCAAGCCGTTTCGCGTCGGTCTTCGGTCGTCGCGTTTTCATTGTTGTTAGTTCGCGGGTGCAATTTTTCACAGTATTTGCGGGCGCGGCCAAAGCTCCATTCCCTATGATTTCATTATTTGCTTTCAATCAGCATTGTGAGCCTTTTCCTCCCGCCACCCCTCCTCCGAACTCCTCCTCCCTCCCATCTCTCCTCGCACTTTTATCCAGCGAATTTTGTGTGGTTTCGTTTGAAACTCAGTTTGTTTTTGAGTTACTTCTATTTTTTTTTCTGTTATAATATTTTTATCGTTGTCGTTTAAAATTTATAAGTGGTTGTAAATTTTGATTTGCATTATTTATTGTTAAGATCCGACGGCCAATCTCGAACGTACCATTTAAATGTTAAACGAAAAATTTCAAATTCTTAGTTGTTCCATTTGCACTATCCAGAAAGAGAAACTTGCGATTTGAATTTATTGATATTTAGTATATTCTTAAAATATAAAACATCGTAATTTCTCTTATAGTTTCAACATTATTCCAAAGCCTTTCCATATAAACGTATCTATTAAGCTGTGATTTGTCCATCCCAGTATATCTGAACCCATATAATGTTCAATGCCGTTAATCAATACTTCATATATATCCGTTTGATATTTTGTACAACATTCCATGAATACGTGTACGCAGAACAGAATACCTATGCAGACTCTGGTACATATGCTTTCACTAATAGTGAGAATATTTCATGAGCTGTATTTATTACATACGTGACATGCCATTATATTTGTAGTTTTGAAAATGAAATATCTCTATGAAAAGCTAATATTATTAACTTGTAAATATATATTAGTCTTATGTATTTTTTAATGAATTTAATATAATAATATTTGTTTAAGTCTATCAAAGCTTTATTGAAGTACGCGTTTTATTTGCCTTAAGTTTTGGTTCAAGGAATTTTCTAACTGTTGGAAGTCTTATATAAAACGTTGGTACTTTGCCTTTGTTTTAATAGAATCTGGAAAATAATAAAAGTTTTTAAATTTATCCGTATATATATTATACAATCATTTGATTGCTATTTAATTTGATTTTAAATATCTCTTTGATTCAAATCCCATCACATGGATATGATTTAGTGTGTTGGGCTATTAGTTATTTTTATATTAATAAGGAATTCTACAAATTATTTTTTTAGTATTGAGTTATAATAGTATACAAGATTTATTACTAAGGTTCGGGTTCATTATCTTTCTCCAACTCTACATCAGTAAGTATTAATAATAATTCATAAATATTTTCAGTTCTATTAAATTAAAAATGCTATAAATTTATGTTATAATTTTCACAAAGATTTATTTCTATGACATTTAATGAGTTAAGTAGTTTTACATGGCTTTTAGTTACAAGATACAACGAGCCGCTTTGAGAAATTTCAAAAGGCCTAAATCGACTTAATTTCTATGATACTGCTGTATTTCGTCACCTTTTTCAGATAGTATAGATCTTAATTCTGTTTAATTATACATCGAGAATCGAGATATTGTACATACTACTACATGGCAGTACCAATATTGTATAGTCAAATATAAGCAAATTCAAAAATGTTTTATAGTTATCACAGAGCGTTTCACTATAACATCGAAATGAAACCGTAAGAAAGTTCAATTGGAAAGAAACCTCAGCACAGCTATTGTGTGATATCGAAGGGAATAGATGTATAAAAGTAACCATTATATTTTTATTTAACTGGTCATTTCCATATCTCTACACCTACAGTCTATAAATATTTGTGTTATAAAAATATGATACTGATATATTCTTAATCAAATATACATATATGAATTCAAAAATAAACTTTTTGTTTAAAATATTATTTCACTATTTTACTCTTATGTATTTACTTTTAAGTGACGGTGAAATATTTTTCAGAAAAGTTATTTAATAAACAAGGCAGTCGACTGAAATATGTTTTTTATAACATAAAATAATATATTTGTTTTAAACTTTTTCAAATTCTATGTATTATGATTACCTATACCATAGTATATAATTAGTCTAAATTAAACAATAGACACATATATATTTTATTTAAAATTCCAAATAAATATCAAATCTATTTTCTTACTTTAATTTGTTTTATATTAATTTAAGAAGAACTGATCTGAGCTTTGTTTTATATTTAGATAGATTTACAATTTTACAAAAAACATAGTGGTGTTTGCTAGATAAAATCCAGAAATACATATAACTTTACGTTCTTTGAAATTTTTTGCGATAAATTGAAAGAAAATGCATTATACTTATACATAAAATATTAATCTCTTAACTAACATTTAAAATAGCATAAAAAAATTCACAGACGTATATGATTATTTAAATTGCATACCTTTATTACAATCAAATTTGTTCAATGAAAATGAATCATATTAACAAGGAATAATCTCGTTCATACATCTTGATAGCAAGGAACAAACAGTGTTTTTGACTGTAGATTATTAAATTTGACACGTATCGTAAGCGGCTTGTAATGCTACCGTTCCCACGTTCAATTGACTCCCAGCAACCATTAACGTTTGACTTACGACAATTGCCCCGTAAGGATCCGATGGCACAATATCGGCATATCGGAATAATCGTTTAACGTAATGCTCGCCGACAAGGAAAAGCTTTCCCATGCCCCCCGGCGAGCCACCTTCCCATTGCACTGATGCATTATATGAAACTCAACGTGCAATACCACGGCGTATTTATCGAGATTTTATTATAGCCAGCTTAAAAATAACATCAGCTATATACATATATTGAAATATGAAATAGGTTTCCGTATGAAATAAGTCTACGTAAATAACACGCGTCACGAGTTACCGTCTGTCTTAATGAACAATTGTACCAATTTCGTTTAAAAAAAGTATATATGAATAAGCAAGCAATGAAAGAAAGAGTAAGCAATGGAACTGCGAGTACCGTATTCTAGTAATATGAAATTAATCTAAAAGCCAAAGTAAATTATTTAAAATATGTATGTGATCAGATGAAAACGAAGTTAGTTTCGTCGTCTGGAAGGCTTCCTCGGGTCTTAGTTTGGGAGAGCAAACAATAACACGAGGCGGCCCCGGGCTGTGTTCCTTGTCTGATGTTTGTGTTATGCGTTTAGGAGCTACCGCGGTTTTGTTCATCCACTACGGGCATCAGCATCCGGTCTTTGGATCAATGTGTTAACTGTTAAGTGCTCCTTGAACTACATCCAACCAATAACCGGTTTGACTTTGACTAGACAAACTATTGTTACAGTTATGTTACTTTATATTATGTTCTAAAACAGCATTAAATTAATTTAATTTCAAATTAATCATTTTAGAATCTATAAATATGTTCATTATTTTAAGTATCAGTATCAAATCATAAGACAGTCCGTTTGAATCAAACTATATGTATATATGAATAACTATGAGATTGCATCGAAATAACAGGTTAGTTCAATAAGAAGACGTTTGAAAGTTTATGAATAGATCGTAATAAGCTCGGTATAGTAATAGTTGGGTGTCAATAAAGCGAGGCTATGTCAGGCCGACGTCATACCGCGCGTCCTGGCGGCGCCGCCCCCCTCTGTGATCATTGCCAGCCATTACCCCGCCCGTATTAAGCCACTTAGCACAATCATGATTAATGTTTTACCGAACGCGAGCCGAACCAAATAGAATATATATTTACTTTACATCGTAATTAGGCATTCAGTGCGAGTATCTCTCACTGCGGGCTGTCTGTCGCCGACTAGACTGCTTGCATTCAATTCCTTTCATTAATTTAGTCTCGATGTTCTCTGGATGTTTCCATGTTGCTGACAAAATGTTCAATACTTCGTTCGAAGACAAATTATACCTATGGTTCGTTTTAATTTGTTACAACTAAAATACCGCGTCAAATTCTAAACTATGTTGCGATCGTTTAAAAGTTTGAATTTGTATAAATAACTACAGATGCTTTATACGTCTTTAGAAAATGTGTAATTTAAGTTAGAATTAGTACTTTTAAAATATAAAAGCAAAATGAAATATAGTTTCTTCATCTGATCTAATTAAAGGGATCATTCTCGCTAAATAACAGTTGAGTTTATTAGGTATTGAGTGTACGACGTCTAATTGGTATTCCCGGATTAAGTGAAACATAAACAGCTGATTGCTATTGATTACATAGTACAGTTGTCAGGATGAGGAACTTTGATACGGTTTAGTAATGTTTTAAAATATAAAACATTACTTTAAAACTGTATTATATGGTTTTATAGCGAATATTGGGAGAACTATTTTCTATATCATTTTCTGGCATCTTAAGATTTTTTTAAGTAATTTCCTCTAATTATATTTTAATAGTCTTTCACTTGTTTGTTATACATTATCAAGGTTTGCTTTTAGTCTCAAGTATAATATTTTTTCGTTTTTTTTACTAATAAGTCAAGTAGATTATTTATATATTCGAACTAATGAAATAAAAAATTTCGTAAATAAAAGCATTAAATGTTCGTATTTTGTCTATCTATAACCTAATTAGGGCGTTTGTTTTGTAAGAAAAATAAGATATACATTTTTCTTTCAATAACAACGTGATCTCGGAATAAGTAAACATTTTAATCCGTTATTTTTTAAAATGCTTTATTTTTAAAGGCAGGAGTTTTATTCTCTAATCAGATATTTTAATTGGCTGCTGGAAAACTGTTTGTGTTTGTTGTCTAGCGAAAATAAAACATTCAGAGAGAAAAAAATATTTAAGAAAAAGTATAATAATCTCTTCTGGCCGACGTTTCCATTATAATTGAAATGTTATTTTTTTAACATAAAAATAAAAAAAAAACAGATTAGCATTTGAAATGAAACGTTGACGTTGAAATAAAATTATGTTCCCAGAATTAAGTTAAAAGACATCTATGGAATATTATTTTTTGTGTTAAAACTAGTAAATTAAACGTTAAATTGTATCGAACGTTGGATATATAAAGCCTTTGAGGTATTGACGTGCACGCCACTCAATTATTTCAAAAACATCATTTGTGTAATTAAATTGCATACATTAAAACCATTGTCGTATCGTTAACAAAGGCGTTTGTTAAACAAAATGAAATACTTGCTTTGATAGTTGTAATATATTAAACAATATTTTATTTGGTCCATATATAGTAATGATATGTTATATATGTATAAAATAACATAATCTATTCATCGTGGAGGGATTCATGTCACGAACAAGGTCGTTTTGTTTGCGGCACTCGCTTTAACGCATAATTTGTTATGAATGCCACAAAATTGGCATACTGACAACCGACTGCAATTGAAATTGTATCAGAATATACATTGGAGCATCTCAAATAACTTGTTATTTAGTGTTCGTAATTAAATTATGTATTGAATACATTTAAATAATGTATAGTATTATAAGGATTTTGATTATAATGTCGAATGTAAATATATATAATGGAAACGCAAAGAGATTTAATACAAATGCCAGAAACATTGATATAAATAATATTTTGATATAGATAGATGGTAGACTTGTAGTATATTTATGCAGTGTCGCGGATGGCACAGCGGGAGGGGCGGATGTCAGGAAAAATTGCTACTTCCGAGAAGCACAAAGGACCAGAGAATATTATTATAGTGACCTCTAGTCCAATATAGAGACGAGAACCGGCAGATTCATGTTTTATAATAGATACCTTATAACGTTGGCAGTCTTTTAATGGCTGTAGTTTGAGTAATAAAAAATTTATGTTATAATGAAAATATTTTAAACAGCGATTATATATAGCATAAACAAATTTTCTTATTAGATTGGTTTATCTTCATTAAATCGATGTTAATTTGAAGCCTAATTATGTAATTCGATGATGCCTATTATTGTATGGCTTGAACTACGAGTGTTGCTTGAGGATTATTAACGCATTACAATTTAATTACTTGTGATATTAAATTATAGGCATGTATATTATAAACATTATAATTAATACGTATTAATGTTTATTACATTTTGTGATAATGTTTAGTTTATAAAATGATGTTTTCACACGTAATTATTGCGTAGTAGTGATATCAGTCCGGGTTGTTTGGGATGTAGGGTAGCCATGGCGATGCCAGCCAACCTCTCCTGTTATTAAGCTCCTCTCAAACAATATGCCGCAAATTGAGTTAAGTCACTAATAATGGTATCGCGACGAGGGCTCCACTTTCATTCACAACGTAGCCAATCTCCTCCCCTCCTATTAACTTTTATTCGATTCTCTGAGATTAATAGCTGCTACGTGTGTTTGTTGCTTGGAATATATATATTTTTTTCTACCTTAAGAAAACGTCCGAACGGGGTTTGAGATGAAAGATATGAGAAGCTTTAGAAACTAAAGTTAACTAAGAGCGATCAGTGAAGTTGTACTGCACTCATAAGTCATCCCGCACCACGCCCCCTTCAGCCGGGCTATGATTTCAATTATTGTTTGATGTCCTCATTTCTCCAATGTTTATTCTGGCCGCGTTTCTCCATTTTTTCTACTTCACCCTTCTCCCTCGTGTTTGCTCACAAACACGTCGTCTGAGGTACGTCTTTCCAACCGAAATCGTATGAGTTGCAAGAATATTTGAACAAGTCACATCGTGTTTTCAGTTAAAACGTACATATAATAATACGACAATTTTGAAAACTCACATATTGATATTCTGATTAAATTATTACCATCAAAAATTCAATTGCCTGTAAAAGTTCGAGTATAACGTTTCGTAATATAAATAATACTCCAGCTACATTGACAAGGCTAGTCGGTTATCCTTCAATATGTTATTATGATCAATTTGCAATATCTATTTAGTAACAGAGTTATCTATACCGGTCCATAATCGGACGGATCCCGTTACCTGCACCGCCATTGTGCGTTGTGTGTGACATTGAGAACTTAATGGACTGCCATGCTCAGAGACCTCGCATTTCAACAATATAATAATAACACATTTTTAACATTATATTATACAACAAGCCTGACAATAGGAAGCTTTTCACAAAGGATCAATTCTTAGTTTGGCTATTCGTTTAATGTGTTATGAATCACGTGCCTATATACTTATATAAGAATATTATATACTAAAATAATCTCAGCGGTCAAATTTAAAATGTTGTGATTTTTAAGTAGCATTGCTAAAACGAAAATTTTGTTAAACAGTTTTTGCTATCGAAATATGTTGATAACTGTATTTTTAATTTCAATTATTACATATTTTACACCCATACCAAGAAAGCGTTAATAAAACTAGATATATGATTCAGAGCGCACGTTTTATTAATTTTCCAGCTACAATTTTTCTCATTCGCGAAACACTATAAGCGTTTCTAATTATACTAAGATGCAGGAGTGTTTGATAGACTTAGTCCATAAAAGGAACAAGACGTGACAAGTCTAACGCCAAGATATATGTACTTCAACAGGCGTGATTCACACAGAGACAGCACCTGCGCCCAGCACCTAAATATACCAAATTGACACTTATCACTAAACGTACAAGTGGCATTTTGCATCGGACACAAAATTGCACCCAACGAATATCGCTCGCGTGCACTAGACTTGCTTTCAAAACGCGACACCACAATATTTCAGCACTTCCAAGAAATAACAACGCTTGAGAGCACCACTGTAGCAAACTTGAACAACAGCGGCAATGCCTCACCATAATAACTGTGTGGAATTCATACTAGAAATTTTCTTAGTTCCTTGAAAGGAAAATAGCTCTAATATAACAAAAAGTAGATAGTAACTTGCATTCGCTCCACCGTGTTCGTTGATGCGAACAAAAAATATATATATTATTATAGAGTTTAAAAAATAAATATTCTTATAAATGAATATTATATTTTTTATAGAATAGTACGAACATAAAGGTCAGACACTTCCTACGTAAGCTTCTTACGATCTTTCCCCTCAGAGCGTTTCCATACAATAAATGACTGTATACGTTTCACATCCAAAGTTTAATACGAAAATGTGCTAGTTATGTAACATTTCTTTAACAATTATATTTGACACGTGATAGCGACACGTGGAAATACGACGCACGAATCTTTGAAAATATTTCGTAATAATAACATCGAAAACCTTTGCGACATCAACAAACAAACAGCGTGTAACTCTCCTTTTGTATAATTAATTTCACCTTTAAACAGATTATTTATTACATTCTAGTAACAAGAAT